TAAACAGAACCACAGCAACATGCAAGGGGCAGCCAGGGTGAGTGAGTGTCCTCTGAGATGTAAGATGTTTGGCAAGACTGTCTACAGGCAGGGTTGGCAACAGACTCAGCCAGGCCTTGTGCAACCGGAGGGAGTGGGGGGGAAGGGGGAGAAGAGTCTTGGCTTCACCCTCTGGAAGGGGTAGAATCTTGTGCTAAAGAGGTGGGGCTAGGGGCAACCAGCCCTCAGCATTGACCAGACTGCACCACATTGGTCTCCAATGGTGATTTAAAGAGCCCAGAGATCCAGGCCCTTTTAAATCTCCAGACCCCAGGGCAACTACCACTTTTAACCTTCCACCCATCTCCACACTGGCAGCCCTGTTCACAGGCCACTTACTGGTAAGGTACTTTGTGCTTACAATGTCAGCAGATTTATTTTACAGGAGGGAAAATGAGAAGAAAGAATTAAATGTGAATAAATATGGTCCACAAATGTTGGAAAAAGTCCCCAAATTATAGTTTTCTTCTATCACTGGATACGCAGGTGTATTCCATAAGTACCAATACCACCTCTTTGCAACCTGAACTTCAGTATACTGCAGTTACATAGCAGTTTTAGGAGTAATTTTCGTACAGTGCTTAAGAAGATATATTAGCATTATAATAATATGTATTTTAAGAGGTTCTCAGTCAAAGGGATCTTCATATCATACTATTTCTGACCCGTTAATGTGATTTTAAAAGATCAACAGTAGATTTCAGTCCATCTGCTGTTTCAGCCCTGGGGTGTCTATATGTTGCGCTTCTTTAGTTACTACCCAGTCCTAAAACTCACATCTTTACAAATCCTCTGTGAAAATTACTGACTCTCTCTAATTTATCATCTTTTCCCAAAATCTTCCTTTGTATACAGGAGTGGGCTGAGTCACTTGGCTGCCTTCCCTTCCAAAGCCAGACAATGTTTGGTAATGGATTGCAAAAAGGCTATTACATTTCAACCTCCTTTATGCAGATCAAATCTTTTCACCCTCGACTGGACCATAAATCAGAAGTGGCCTCTCCTAATCACCAGTGAAGTCCTTATCAGATTACAGCAGCTGAGACAGGAAGCAAATTGGTAAATACCAGTCAGTTCTTAAATATGCTTTTGGCATAACACGTAAACTTCATTGAGCAATAATTTCATCCTCCTGCATGTGTAACACATTCTGCCCGACATTATTTGTCTTATTTATTACCCATTGCCCATTAAGTAAGAAGAAGGTCACCGCTATTTGTTCTTACACCACATTCCACTTTCAAATGAGTTGTTTAAAATGGTGGGATAATCAAGCCTCCAATTTAGATACACTGGAAAAAAAAATTTATTCCCCTCCTGCCCCAATTCTCTCCTCTCAGGGCTGGATTCATTTTCGGTTGCAACCTAACCAAGGGTTTGAGAAGAATGCAGTATTGCTCTTGGTACAAATCAAAAACTAACACAGAACCAAGTGATATAAAAACAGGAGTAAGTTCTTCCTCCACTGGAAACAGTTTCCAGCTACTAACACTAAGGGCACGTCTAGACTACGTGCACCTACCGAAAGAAGATATGCAAATTTGGCTCAAATTTGCATATCTTCTGGGGGGGTTTCCCCCCGGAAGAGGCTTTTCTGATATTTGGCCCGAATACATAGGGCTAAATATCAGAAAACCCCCCTCTTTCAGAAGCCCCCTGAAACCTTCTTTTAGGAGGAATAAGGGGGCTTCCGAAAGAGGGGGGGTTTCCGATATTTGATCCCGTGTAGACAGACCAAATATTGGAAAAGCCTCTTCCAGGGAAAAAAAATGGAAGGTATGCAAATTTGAGCCAAACTTGCATATCTTCTTTCGGAAGCCACGCAATCTAGATGTAAGTCCAGTTTGCAACTGTACCATGACAGTAAATATACAATGGAATAAAACTGTTCTCCATTTACACTTTAAAGGTGCTAAATGCATGAATTAAAAGGGAGGCAAAGTACATTCAATTTAATTAGCCATAATTATAAGCCGCAGTGTAACAGAGTAGCAGTTTCTGTATTAATATGTAACACAGACAGCTGTACAAATACTCAGTTACACCAATCTTACTGTCTTCAGTAAAAGTGACAAAGCCTTAATAGAAGAGTTGCCAATTACACTGTACTCCCTAGTATAATAATACTCTGAACTTTAAAACTGGGAACAAAGAATATTTTATTGTCTCATATTACGCTAGTACAATGCGTGAACAATAGCTATTCCGGGTTAGTTGGCAGTCTCAACATAAAACTCCATCTTAAAACGCCAGTGACATAAGGCAGAGATGCCAAGCATCAGAGAAGAGATACATCTAGAACCCTGCGTGGATACAAAATTGGTATCCATATCAGCATCTGCTTCCTCAAAAATGAGCCACGGATATCCGCACACGTGAATGCAATTATCCATGAATATAAAGCAGATATCCGCAAATTTGTATGGCTCTAGATTAAAAAAAAAATCTATATGCGTATCATATCTGTAAAAATGAACCACAGATATCTGCGAATGCAGATACCCCCTGTTATCAAGTGGATAGCCTTGGATTTGTAGGGCTCTAGACACAGCTTCTGCTCCAAATCTGGCAGGAGGTAGGTGTGCAACCACAGAAGGAAAGTAGAAGGACTTAGGTATAGGTGGCACCTTTAATTACTGTGCAATGTTCTCTCTGACTATTTTAAGAATGGCATTAACAAAGGCTCAGAGAGAGCAAGTGCTTAGCACTTCTCAGGTGGAGGGACAAGATGCCTTTCTGACAAAAGAACTTTGAGTGTGGATAAGGAAAGAGAAATGTCAGTTCTGGAACCAAACTTCCACAAAGTCATTTTAATTTCTAAAGGGTAATTTGCTCCTTTACAAACAGTAACAGATTTCACTCTGTGCGGTTCCTTTTAAGTAAGCATCTAGCGGACGCACCTTGTTGAAGACCCAGATCTCCCCATTCACTGTCGGCCTGGGAACCCCATGCCCATTGTAGTGAAAGAGGACCCTCTCTTCCTTGGCATTTCGACGCAGCGATGTACACAGTTTCTTAACTTCATCCACAGTAGGATCGAGGCTCTGCTTGTACCGGGCCTGGTGATATAAAAAATAAGTTAAATAGTGTTAATTGCATGCATGTGCATACTGGAGATGCATAGAAGCATACACCCATCAATACACAGGAAACAGTATATTATATACAACACTTGACAGAATTGACAATATTCAGTCTTGCACTACTGACACATTTACCCTCAGCTATGACAGATATTGTTTATAGCCCCGAAAGGCCCAAAGCATCTGTGTAGAACAATTATTTTAAGTAACTATTTAAATATTTTTAAATTATTTTTCCTCTCTTCTGAGCTCTGTACAGATGGACTCTTGGCACAAAGACACTTCTCTTTACTACTGGATAGATATACAAATAGCCCCAATAAAAAACTACAAACATCTAAAATAGTGGGTTTCAATCATTTTTCACCTGAGCGCTAAAATCCTCCCACTGCTTCATGCTAGACCCACAATGCTTTGCCAATACTAAAGGATTGAGGGATCGAGGCCACAGCAAGAACCCATAACTGGTATGGGTTAGAAGACTGCTGGGCACTGTGTGGATATAGCATGACGAGTCAAGGACTGATCTTGGGATCAAGGTGTGCTGATAGCCTGGAAAACCCTGGCCAAGAGAGGAGAGTTTCTTCCTCTCAAACACAACACTTAACTGCCACAAGGTTAGGAAAACAAGGAAACTGGAAGGAGGTTCCAGCAGGACAGGATTGAGCACAGGGGCACAACAGATATTGATAAAGGAGCTGTCTTCTCTCCCTCCACCCATTACAATTACCGGGTTGCACTGCTCTTAGGACTGTGTGCGCAATGCAGGTAACTCTCAATAAAACTATCCCAAAACTCATAATAAAATCCTTAGGCATCCCTCTCCCATTGTGTAGTCTTTACATACAGGTATAAGACACTGGCAGTGCCATTTTCAATCATTTCCATGCTGAAAAATCTGTAGCAACATGCCAAAGACATTTTGCATAAAGGGAAGAGGGAAACAGCTAAGGATTGCACACACGGCAGGGTAGGGTTGGGGGCCAAGTATATTACTTCAGTAACTGTGTAGACAGATGAGATTGTAAAGAAAGTGTTCTCAGATATGAAAGTTTTTGCCGGAAAAAAATATGCCCCGCAATAAAGGTCAGAAAAATAGCTGTATTGTGGCAATAGTTTGGCCTAAATATAATGAAGCTATACAAAAGTTCAGCAATAGCTTCATTTTAAATTATGCAGGTTTCTCCATCACAACAACTCATTAACATAAGCAATTCTACAAGGTTAGAAATGCCACTGGGTCTCAAAACAGCTCTCTACTTCTTTGCACATATGAAAGGCTATGCTAGAAGAATGCTAAAGTAAATTATAGTCACTTTAAAGATCAGCTAGTGGCCAGGACATGCTAAAAGAGGTTAAATAAACCTGATGAATTAGGAGAGAGTAATCTAATGCCTGCAATTCAGCTAGCACCAGATAACTATATTCACCATTAACTCAGGCAAACTTTTCCAACAGATACGTCAAAGTTCTAATCTACTATTACACCACAGTGTTTCATGGAGATGGCCACCTAACTTTTAGCTATGAACATCAGCCTTCAGGTTATCCCGAAATCCATGCATTTCAGGCCTAATGAATGAGGCATATGCGCTAAGGGCTTTATTAATAAATTTATTCAATATTTTACATTAAAATTACATATCACAGACATCTAAGTAAACATGTCCAGCAATCCTCTACATGGAAAGTGCCTTGCTCCTCACACTGAAAGTGATAAGAACAAATGCCTTTTAATTGCCCTTTGGAAAGGCAAGAGTCTTGGTCTCTCCCAGATCCTTCAGAACAAAAGTACCCAAGGGACTAGAAATCCAGCACCACAATGGCCTCAAGAACTAAAGCTGCTCTATTGCAGCAGAGAAGAACCGCACCCAGAACAAGCTTTAATACACACAACACACTTGCGACTTTAGACTATGCACTTCACAGTTCTGTAAGATACAAAGACGATTCAATCATCTTGATCTATTAAACGGTTTCTAGAACAACGCCCAGAAAAGCACTTTGTTTTACGGTTTTTGTACCTTTATTCAAAAGACGGCTAATGAGAACCATGATAACTTGGTTTTAATGTTTCTCAATTAACCCTTGTCACTTTAAGCCAAACAGCACAAAGAATGCCTTGCAGAACCTGGCCTCAGCCCTTTAAGAGACATTCCTGAGTGGTGGGCCAAGAGCAGTCACTACAATGAGGCGGGGGCCCTGTTCTGCCACACATGATGTTCTTTAGGAGCTTCCTCGCTAGTCAAAGGCAAGGGAAGACATTAGCCTCAGCACTGGCTTCTTACTTACTCCTCTCTTTCTCTCTCTCTCTCTCCACTTACAGTGTTATGATGAAGGTGCTGATTTGCAAAATGTGCATCTTAAATCATATTCTGCCTGCTGGCACCTTTACAAGACACTATAACCAGGGCCCTCAAGTATTGGGTAATTTTTCAATTCCCACTTTTTTTCTGTTTTTTTGAGAACTTGCTCATTGAAATATCCCTCACGTCCTTTTAGCATAAATATTCAGTACTGCTCACAATTAATGAAGGTGAATGCATACTTTAAAACAAAAGTCTGCAGATCTACAGAGCTGAGACAAACATATCATTTACACATTCATAAACACCGGGCTGCACGGGGGTGGGGAGCAGAGGCTGCAAAGGAACGGATCAACGCCTATCTGTCAGCCAAGGACTTTCCGTATCAGTCTACTTAGCTCATTCTGATGCACATTACAGCAAGACAATACCTATTAGTTTTACCCATGATGAGAAAAATAACCAGCCATTTGTTCTGTGTTTTTGATAAAGCTTTAAGATCTTATTCAGTGATATGGAAGAGAATCAAGAAAACAAACCATATAACAACTAGAAGGAAAGTCCAGCTTTTTATTATTTCACGGAGGGGTGGTGGTAGTCTAGGGGTGGTAAGTGTGGGGGAGTTAACATTCATAATAAGATGATCATTGCATCTGTTTCTCTTTCCAGAATTGCTGCTGCAAAGTCTGCGGAGGGGAGAGCGCGCAGGGGAACGGAGAGTACTATGAAGACACCAGATTGTTTTTTTTACTTATAGTTATTTTACCAGATGTTAGCTTGCCAAAGCGAGTTCTCTAAAATACGTGCACAGCTGGTGTGCGGGATTGGTGACAGCTCAAATCTTGTAAAACAGTAAATAAGGATACACGGATCCAGACCGAAAATACTTATCACTCATTTAACGAAACTGCAGCTTAACAACCCCTTTCCAACAAATGCCCTCCTGCATCTTGATTGCTGTGTCTCTTTAGACACAGGCATCACTATTTCTATGACATCTTGCCTCTACTGCCTGCAATGTATTCTGTTCTCCAAGAAGGAATATTTTAAACTCGGAGGAAAGCACCATTTAGGGAATGAAGGAAGGGCTGAGACCGAAGCATTTTCTGTTGAAGCCCATCCTATAAACCAGAAATATTTCATAACGCATGCCCATTTCTATGCTAAGGAAAAGAAAACAGAGTCCTCCTCTCTCCCCACAAGACAAGACATTAAGAGGGAAGCACAATCTGCAGTTTTGTAGCCTACAAGGCAGACCCGTACGCTGTGTGGTGGATGTGATCTCCTTCGCCAAACCATACGTGTTAGAAACAGCAAGAAGCTACAGTTTGCATGGAACAAAGTTAAGTTCATGAACAAAACTGTATACATCTTTCATAAAACTTCAGTGAGAGCCAGCTCTATAGTGACTGTAGACAACAGGTTATCCATGGGTAGGAACTGAAAGACCACTTTCCTCAGGATATGGACACCTACACGGATGGTCAAGTGGTTAACCACAAAATTACCTGTGAATGCTGTATGCAAGTACAAGTGGCTTTGTTACAAGTGCAATTTACAGCGCGGTAAAGCACCAGTGTGCGCCTGGCACCAGCACTAGGAGCTGTGCTCCCAGCACTGCTAGCTCTTCCCCTCGTGGCGCGGGTGTACATCGAGTACCGAGAGATCTCTCTCCCAGCGCTCGGGTCGTGGCCACACATTCCATTTGAAGCTCTGCCCAGCACACTTGCTTCACAACTATCAATTTTATAGCCTGCAAATTTGCAGCTTATAAGTTCACAGCCATTGCCCTCTTCTCAAAAAGATTTGCCATGGGCATTGGTATATAAAATCATGCCTCCTTTGTTTTTAACATTAAGGGGACTGAAATGCATCACTATGCATTAACCCATGGGCAGTCTTTTCTTCCAGGTAATGGGAGACTGCATTAAATTTTTGAACAAGGCTGACATACTAATTAACCTGCTGTCTAGGCACATTTGTTGAGCCTAGAATTTTACCTACACTTCTTACCAGGAAGAAGTACCTTTCTTTAACTCCTGGTTTTATTTTTAATGTCTTCTTTTAGTTTTTAAATCTATTTCCTTCTTGTCTCTTCCAGACCTTCAATGTTAGTTTGTGTCTCTACACAGATATTTTACAGACCTCTCTCCATGCTGCATTTTCTTTCTTAGTTCCTCACGTTACTTTTGCCTAATACAGGCTGAACCTCTCTAGTCCAGAAACTTCTGTGATCCAGAATGATTTTAGTTAGTCGATTGTTCATTTTTCATGGATGTGCCCTGTGATCCCATAACATTTGTTTACAGCCACCAGTCCTGGCTCTCACTGTTCCGTGCTGATATTTAGCTCAAATTTACCCCTAAACGTCCTCTAACAGCCTAGTAAACAGTGGAAGTGTTGGTCATGCTGCTAGACAATAACGACCTCCCCTCGTCCAGAAAATTATCTGGTTCAGAACTGGTCAGCTCCCGAGGGTGCTGGACTAGAGAGGTTCTACCTGTACATATTTGTATGGATGTTAAACATGGTAGCAACACCTCTTAAGCTAAAAAACAAGTATCTGAAAAGTTTCTATCAGACTTTAGATATCTACTACTCAGAGTACTTTATATTATTTGTAAAATAAAGAGTCACTAATTATTTTTAAAGTTATTGGGCCCCACTGAT